AAATCAAGTGAGATTGCTATTTCAATTTCAACTTTCTCTATTTATTTCATAAAATGTGCATCTTTGGGTAGGCATTTAGTAGATGCTCTGATTGCCCATTTAAGTTGTCTTGTTCTCTTGTTCTTTCTCCTGTTTTATAAGTTTTTTGGTTGCATGTACACTAAATCAAGTATCTTGTTTGTAGTTATTACAGTCACAAAAGTAGTTAAGCTGTAATATCTATGATTTTGTGGAAGAGGGGCAGAAAGGTGAGAGACTTGCATCTGGGAGCTTCTTGTATTCGAGTCACTACTTTCATAGATTTTATAGACATTAGGGCTGGAAGGGATGTTGGGAGATAGAGTTCAGCCCCCTGCCCCAGGGGCAGGAAGTCAGCTGGGGTCAAAGGATCCCAGCAAGACAAACATCCAAATGTCTCTTAAAGGAGTCCAGAGTAGGTGCTTGCACCACCTCTGGCAGCAGTCTGTTCCAGGCCTTGGGGGCTCAGACAGTAAAGAAGTTCTTCCTTATGTCCAGCCTGAAACGGTCTTGGAGGAGTTTGTGACCGTTTGACCTTGTCGTCCCTTGGGGCGCTCTGGTGAACAGGTGTTCCCCCAGATCCTGATGTACACCCCTTATATACTTGTAGGCAGCCACCAGATCCCTCCTGAGCCTGCACTTTTCCAGACTGAAGAGTCCCATAACTTTGATTCTGTTTCAAGTCAAATTTAGACAGACGACATCAATTCCTACTGCCTTTGAAGCACTCAGAATTGCTTAAGAAATCACTAAGATCGAGTATTGAATAGTGGATGCTTATAAGTTGGCAGCACAACCTTTGTTGTTTTGGTCTCTTGCTGTTCATTAAAGGCAGGAACTGATGAAGTAGTAGTTTTTTTTAAATGTACTATGTAGCAAGCTGCACAGAGTAAAGGTGAAGTTAGTGATTGTGTTAATAAATATTGACTTCATGAGTTATTCAAAAGCTCTATTCTAAATTGGAATTTATTTGATCCAGCAGGTACAGTGTTCAATAGTAAGTACCTTATATCCAACCTCACTAAGTGACTTGCACCATTTTAAAGGTCTGCATTAGCCAGCTTGTACAGTTAAAGGTGTTGATTTTGCTCTGTAAGTTCCTGAGTGGTTTGAGTCTTGGTTATTTCAAGAGAACAACTTTCCCT